CAATAGTAAAAGAATTTTTTGACTGTCTCATCCAATATACTAAGATGAGGGGTAGGTAATGAGTAGAGTTAATCCAGAACCTTTAAACAGTCTTGGATGTCCTTTTACATGTGACATTAGGCACTGCAGGTTTTAAATACCCTCCATACATAACCCAATTATAGGGTCTACACATGGATGACAAGTGAGGAATAGATTTATCAAAGGTTAGCTATAATATATTTAAAGAATCTATCCAACCCAATGTTTTAAGACAATTAGTGGGTAAACCATGTGTTTCATAAACCAGTTATGGGTACCCTTATGCATCTAATGTGAAATATTGTATACCTCTGAACAAAATTCTTATTTACGTGAACATAAATCTCAAATAAAACGGATATATAGATACAGTTTACAGCCACTACTTTAGCTTTCACTGTTGGATGAGGCTATATAATAAGGATGCTGCAGCAGAATAATTCTTCATAGAAATGACAACACTGTTATTTCTCTGGGAAAAAGTTAACGAGCAATCCATACCTCAGTAAAGAACTCCTTCTCTCCTTGTTTTGAGTCAGTAGCAAGAACTTTCACCGCAACTACTCCACCAGCAGGCATTGTAGCTTTGTACACTGGACCAAAAGAGCCCTGTCCCAGAATGGTTGTAAAGTTTTGGGTAGCTTTTTGAATGTCCCTGGGGTTCCAAAAAAGATCAGCACCGGCAGTCGGCATTGTTAAGCAGTTTAATATGGAATTCGTAGAGAAAAATGTATTCAATAAACGGCTTATTTTAATAATGCTAAATTGCCAATTACAACTTCTAGGCATTCTTCAAACCAGATTGCCTAACACATCCAATGTGTATTTGAAGGATCAAAACAAAGAAACGTATAAAAATATTCCGTTGCATTCTGACACCTGGATTACATAATCTCTCAACATGCTTATATGATGACAAACGAAGCATCATCAGCTTGCCGCTAAGAAAAGAACCAAAGCCTGATGGCGATGCCAGAGAGAAATTATAGAGACAATTAAAAAAAATTCTGAAATACACGGGATAAAAAGGTATCTATGTATGTTTTATGGATTTAAATTGCTCTTAAGTTGCTAATTTATACACATTAAGAAGAGGAACCATGATTGAAGAGTTTCCCTCAGTTACTATTTAGGATGCAATAACATGAAAGGCTGTTGAATTTAGTCATCTACAAGGTGATTCCCCCACCAAAGATATTAATATCCCTTTAGAGTTGTAGATAACATACTTATAAAAATATCTTGGTAATCCAGATGCTGAAGCAAATTGATCTTTAGAAGGGTGACTCCACCAACTGTGCAGTGGTTTTGTGGCAGGAAATCCTGATGTCTTAATAGCTACAGAATTTGACAGAGATGCACTAAAATCAACGCTTGTTCCAAGTCCATTTGTCCGTATTGGAAGAGTTGCTAGAGATCTCTCATTTGGATGGTGCTGAAGATGAACACGCCTTTTGTACCACCGAATTCCAAAGAAAACAAGTGATGCAATGAGAATTCCAAAAGCCACACCGACACAGATGCCAATAATAACTAAATCAGCTTTATGAACCATTCTTCAATCTTTTCCCAAAACAAAGAAACTTGACCATGTTGTGAGACTAGGATGGAGCTTATCTGTCGTAATGAAGGTAAATAGAAGTGAATAGTGCACCTTCTCCAGTCAGTATACAAATTAAATATTGAAGTAAGAAAGCATTAAACTTGGAAGAACATATGGCTCTTGATGATATTATTCATGCTGGCGTTAGGAAGAAATATTTACATGTTGTCAACTAAATTGGGCAAGTAGGGAGCAACAAGCACCACCAATGGAGTACAACACCCCCACCCCCACCCCAGGTACATTGTTCATATTGACAGTAGGAAGAAGAACTTCGTTTGATAAGGTAAATAAATTCTATAAATGTTTGAACAAAAAGGTTATACATTGTCAATTGAATTCAGCAAGTTTAGGGACGAGGGAGAATCAGCAGGGGAATACCCTACCTCTGGAGAAACATGTCAAAAGCATCTAAAGACAAATTGTGCACAAATCTATTACTCCTTTTTATGACCAGAGAATCCGCAGCCATAGCCCTTTGGGTGCAGTCATATTAGTAAGCAAATCGATACTTCACCAGAAAGAAAGAAAAGCATAATCTATGAAAAGAAAGAACAAACAAAATCAGCTACGCTAAACCATAGCCCCTGAAGCATTATACCAGTCCTCTTCTCCATATGGGTTCACGTCAAATAAATTGATTGGTGTTGAAATTCTAACTTAATTAATGGCACCTAACAGTGAAAGACACCAAAATATACCCTTGAGTTTATCATATGGAAAATACCTTGAAATCTAGTGAAAACAAAGATTCAAAACTTCCCCTTATTGCTTTATTACTACACAAACCAACCAAATCAATTTTCCTTTTTTCAAGAAAGCCTGCAGTTCAAGATTATGTTAAAGAACTAGATCAGATCACTCTTTTTCATTCACAATCAAAATACTTGAAGACCCCAGTCCACTCGTCAAGCAAACAGACGAAAGCAAGAAACTCCCCCCCCCCCACTCCACCCCACCACCCCCAAAAAAAAAACCATAATTAGCAGTACATGTAACTAAATACGCAGAAAACGAAAATCAAGAATCTTGATTTATTTTTATAAAAAAAAAAAACATACCTTCAGAGGGGAATCTCATTGGGTTTCCATCAAAACCAAGAAAAAGAGAAAAAAAACCGTAAAAGGGTGTGCTATCAATTGTGGAAATGGCGCAGTAGAATGAATAATGGGTAAAAAGCCAATGCACGCGGTTTACTTTTGGTTTTTATTAGTAGTAGAAAAGCAGAGCCCTACTAAACATTTGGGGTGGCTAAGCACACATTAATGGGCGTACATTAAGGGATTTGACAGAACTTAGACGACTCCGCCTTTGGATTTTTCAATGTAGCACTGCCATTTTGGTCGTCTTCTTGTAGTCAATTTGGGTGTAATATTTTCATCTATTTTCAAAAAAAAAATTAAAGTATATTTATACTTTCATCCAAATATATAGGTATCTTGTTATATTTTCTCCCTAAATATAGCACTTTATTATAAGTTAATACAAATTTATCGTTAATTTTGATTAATGAACACGTGTTAAGCTCAAAAACAAATAATTCATCTTCGATTTTTTTAAAATAACTCATTTGTTTAACCTGAGCCAACTTTTCTTTCTTTTTTTTGGTCTTCTTCTTCAACACCTAATTTGAAATTTTTTTTAAAAAAAAAGATATTTGATTTTTTAGATGGGAGTATTAATTTTACCTTAATGGTTTGAGTTGAGGGGCAATGTAGGTCCCTTACAAACCACTTTTGAAAGCAGATGAATGTTGGTTAGGTTTGAAATAACCAATAAAGAAATGGTCCTCTGCCAGACTACAAATGGAAGTAAAATAAAAAATATTCGTTTGGTTGGTTTTGGTCAGAAGCTTTTGTGTTTGTGCCATGAATAAGTCCTCCAATCATGTGCCTATTGCTTCTGAAATGGTCACCCAATATATATATATAATAAAAAAAATATACTACAACAAGTTACATAAATTTACTATTATTTTTATTTCTATTTCGTATCCACGTTCATATTAGAGTTTGATTATTTCAAATTCATATTGTTTAGGGTTTTTTTTCATGAATTGAATCTGAAATTTCTGATTAAAAAGTGAACTGTCTCATTCACTACATCATATCTGTTGATTGTTGTTTCTGCCTCTTTTTTAAAAAAATAGAAATGGATCTATAAGAGGTACAAAGGTAGTAATATTCGAAATAGGAACAATTTGTTGTATTATATCACTGACAAGGCACTTGGACCATAACGGACAATACATTGAAGAATATAACGAGATTGTAGTAATGTTCAAACAACCTTCAAGGCTCTGCATTTATTCATCTCCAATCCTTCTACTTTTGGTACAATTTAATCTAGTCATGTTCTTTTTAATCAACTACATTAACGATATATTGAATCTGAACTTAGGGATCGTTTGATTGGCTATATTAAAAGAACTAGTTCATAGATTATGTAAGGTATTATTTAATATCATGTTTGATAGGAATTTAGGCTTTTATACACCCTAAATGGTATTATAAAATGTATTACTAATACCTTTCATTTGAAGGTATTAGTAATACATAGGATATAATACCATGGGATAAGCCTATATAAAGATAAAAATATTCCTCAAATTATTTTAATTATTTTGTATATTTTCTTGATGTTATTATTTATATTTGTACTAGTAAATTTATTTAAATAAATTAGCTTACAAATTTATTTAGAAAGAGTTGTTTGTTATTAATAAATTCAATACAAATTTGAAATGTGAGTTGTATATCTGTATAGGAAGTTTGTGATCTTTTATATATATATATATATGTTTGCTTGGTTTACTAATTATTTGTATTTTAAACAATTTAAATAATTAACATACATATTAAAACTACAACCTGCAATTTTATGTGTACATGTAGATGATTTATTCAATTTTGTCATTGTTGATCGTTTTTTCAATTTTAAAAGTAGATTGTTTATCTTTTTTAAATTGAAAAAATGTCGTGTTGTGAGTGATCAATTATTCAAATGACAATTATTTATCCTCAAATAGTTCAAGTTAAAAAATAACAAACAAGACAACTAAATTGTTCTTCCCATAGCTAGTTAATTAGAAGGTTATAAAAAATAACATTATCCGACAATTATCCATCTTAATCCTGATCCAATTACAAAATAATTCAAGGATATAATTGAAAAGAAATTTTTTATAGAGTTATAATCCAATCACAATATGAGGTGGGAAAAAAATGAATCAAACACTTGATAAAAATAAATCCAACATTAGTAATCGAAATACTAATAATCCCTTAATTACTAATTCCTGCATTATTAATACCTGTGTTTACATAAGCATGCCGATTAAAATACCTTGACATGATTAATATTTGACTACAATATACAAGGTTAAACGGAGTTTGATGGAGTAATATATATAAACTATAAAGATAGGAAGGAAGCAAATGTACAATAACAAACATGATTTTTGGGCCTTCACTACTAGGGAGGCAAAATTGTGATGGCCCAAATCTACTTGTACTAGTTACTACTACTAAGGTTTTAATTCAGGAAATTACACCTAATGATCTTGAAAATGGACGGTCTTGAGCTTTTGGCCTCTAACTTAATTTATAGACGAACCTTCAAAATTTGTTAAAACTTGAAGTTTTGCCCCGTGACGTGAGGTAAAAGTTCAAGATCACCTACCTTCAAGACTAGTCTTATAAATCGCTCGTTTTAATTAGTCGGTAGGCTTGTGATTATTGATGGGTGGTTTGCTGCGGCGAGGCTTGCTTCTTCCACTATAGTCTTTGGTCAGAAGCTTCGTTATTTCATCTTCTACATCAACAAACTCCTTCGATTCTTCCTTCTTACCTATCTCGTGATTCTTCTTGATATCCGCCTAGTAATCCACTATAAATATTAGTAATAGAATTCAAGAATTAAAAAAAATGTGATGTTACATTGATCAAAAGGTATATTCATACCTGGTTAATGAAATAGCGTTAAATCAAATTCAGATTACATTAAACATAAGAATGCAATAGGCAATTTATTCCCGATTAATCAACTTAATTTTAATGAATGTGTGTGTTATAACCATCATCAGGCTGTCTAAACTTTAGGTAAATTAACGATCATAAAAAGTAGGATTAATATTCTGAATTTTACTAAGGCGTGTTTATTCTTATTAAAAATGCACTAATAATATAAGAATTAATCATTTTATTTATATATTTGTAGATAAGTTAAACCCATTTTTTTTAAATTAATAAACAACAGACTGATTAATATTGTGCCCCGTGAGTTAGAGCGTGAATGATAGCATCTTTTAAAGTATGTGTGTCTATTTGTCCCCCCGGAGCCGAGGTTGTTGAAATATCATTTATTTTTAAATTTTATTTTTTATTTAAAAGATATTAAAATTAAAAAGATAAATATCAAAAACAAAATAACATAGATAAAATATTATTCTAACAGAATTAACATGATTTTTTTCATATTAATATATACATATATATATTTATAATTAAATGTTAATATAAATATCAAAAATTTCAACGATTCTAAATAATTAATTTGTCGCGGCATATTTTCGCGAAAATAAACTTGATAAGTGGGAAAAGAGAACCTGAACATTCATGTGAGAGGTCTTCTTTGAATCAAATCCAGCATCTCCTTTCACTACCAAAAATAAAATAAAAATGACTGATCGGACAATTTTTATTACTAATTAAAAAAAAAAGTAAAAAGTTCAAAATGATCAGAAAATCATGTTAGCTATGAACTATTTAGTAATATATTTTTTTTAAAAAAAAATTGCAGTCAGAACAAATAGATCGATTCGAAATTAAATATTAAAACAGAATAGCTAGTAGTAGTAGTGTATATATATACCTGAAAATTGATACACTAGCATTTTTCTAATTCCTCCAGCAGATGCAACGATACCATCCACATGAGAATCCTGAATAAATTTCAAAAGAATATATGTAAATAGTATACTAACAAATAACTGCTAAGAGAACATAATCAAGAATCAGATCAAACGTAATTCTATATACTTTCACATACATAAGAATCAGATCAAACGTAATTCTGTATACTTTAACGTACATGATCTTTTTCTATAGAGGTAAACTTTAGCCACTCTTTCTTCCTTAGCTTTCCTACAGAAAGCAAAGAAGGGGAGAAATATTACTACTTAGCTTGTAAATAGCGGCTATTAAAAAAAATTTAAATGTATGAATTGAAGTGTAGTTACCAAACAGAACATTAGCTGAAGTGTGTTGTTGTGGTTGAAGAATGAGCAAAGCAATTACAAGTACAAGCTGAATATTGAAACCAAGTGACACCATATTATTATCAACTTAAATAAGCATAGATTAATTTTCTCTTTTTCTCGAGTGGGAGTAGTAAATATATAGTAGAATTAATGTGGGATTTTTATACAGTTTTTTCAAAAATAAAAGTTTTGAGTCAAAGTTAGGATTCCCACACCTGTCTGTCTTATTCTATTATTATTATATAATATACTTCGGTAATCTCAACTCTTCAAATATATTAATTTAACAAAACTTATTAATAAACTGTTCGGAGTGATAAGCATCAATTTTAATATTAAAAAAAAAAAAACTTTTTAGGTAGAAATAAGAAAAATGTAATAGTTCGGTTAAATTTACGGGAAAATTATATATAATAGCAAACTAATAACCTAAAATAAATGAAGTAGCTAGAGTTTGATTTAATTGTGCTCCATAGTAAACATTTGCAAAAAGTTGTCAGGCGCCTCTCTCCCAAAATCTTGCTCGTCACTCTCCTTTAATCTCTCGCTCGCTTCCTCACTTTTTATATAAACACAAGTGTATAAAAATTGTTTCTAATTGTACAAAGCAGAGAAAATTATATAGATGCAGATATTTTTGTTTCCCTCTCTCTTCTCTTCCAGATCTCGCTCGACACTCTCCCAAATAACGCTCGCCACCCTCGCCTTTCTCACTTATACAAACAGAAGCGAAATGTATAAATTGCGTTTCTGTTTGTACAAAGTGTGAGAAAATTGTATATACACATGCAAGTATATATTTTCGTCTTATACACTTATAATTATACAATAAAAATACTCCCCTACCCAGTTTCTTTTGTCTCTCTCTTTATCGTTTTATACAATTTTTAAATTGTATTTAATTTCTCTCTTTCTCGTTTTATACAATTCGATTCAATTATACATTCTTTGTCAAGTCTCCTTTGTCTTTCTCTCTTTCTCATTTTATATAAATTCAAATTGTATATAATCATTCTATACACTTATAATAATATAATTCATTTTATACACTTCGTTTTTATACAGTTCTCTATCCAAGTGTCTTTCTTTTTCTTGTTTTATATACTTCGTTTTATATAATTTGTTTTAACTGTATATGTATAGCGAATTATACAATTTCTATGTTTGCTATGGAGCAAAATTATGTAAACTTTGCTATAACATACAAATATAAATTTTTTATTTGTTATACGTAAAGTTACCCTGAATTTATTTATTAATATGATAAATATATAATATGAACCAAAGGTGTAATTTTCTACTAATATTTTATTTTGAAGGACAAAACAATAAGAATCAAAAATATTGGATTTGAACAAGGTAAGTCATAGTTTATCTTTAATTTTAAAAAAAAGTTGTCAGTAATTTTATAAGAGATGATGAGCTGTTATATATGGTTCCACAAGGTGCCATGCAAATCATGAGTAGATAACGGAGAGTGAATTATTAGTACCAAAATTAAATTAAATGTACTTTAATCTTATTCACAGATTCGGCTACTGTACACCACCTTAAAGTTTTTAAAAAGTGTGTGAAAAATATAAAATAATAAAATAAACAAATAGTGATATGCTTTGGATGCCATTTCGGCTTCTACTAAGGTAATCTTGTAAAAATATTTGTACCGTCTTGTTACTTAAAAGTTAAAACAAAATTACTGTTTATACAATCTTGTTAAATACTCAATAGCATTGATTGGTAAATTTAAAACAAATTAATAAGTATTAGTTAGTGTTTAGATAACAGTACTCACTCCATTTCAAATAATTAAATTGCAAGGAAGAAAATTAGGACATAAATTTAATATTACTTTTTATTATTATCCTTATTAATTATTGTCAAATTAATTTTTAAAAGGTATAAGACATAAATATGTCTTTTTATTCGGCTTTAAATCACATTTATGTCTTCAACTTTGGGTGTGCATAAGTAGACACTTAAACTTGTATAAAGTTGAACAAATAGACAGACGCACACGTCCTACATGTCATTTTTTATCCTACGTGATTTCTACCCATGCAGGACTCATGTGTTTATTTATTTAAAAGTTGAATAGTTAAAATGTCTGTTTACGCATTATAAAAGTTAGAGGTCAAAATTAAAATTTAAAATCGAATTTAGGGTTCAATATATGTAATTAATTATAATAAATAATTTCAATACTAATTAATTTATAATACAAAACTCTTAAAATATATCGATCGAGTCTTTCATCCATAATAGTGGACTATTTCAATCGAGTCTTCAAAACTAAAATTTATAAAATATACTAATTCACTTTTAAATTTGGTGAAGATGACGTGTAGAGTATAACACCAATGGAGTATTAATTTGTCAATATAGTGAATAATTTTTTTTATTATAATGTCAGTCACATTAATGTAAGGAATTACTAAGAAAAGAATTCAGATCAATTGAAGTTTCTTGAACTTACGGGTTTGATTTGTTTTTTTAAATATCAAATTATATTATTTGTGTCGGTTTTTTAAATCAATAAATTAAATTAAATTAATAAAATTCAATTTTTTCAATCTCGAGTTTTTTCACTAAAGTATTAATTCAAACATATAATTTACTTGTATGTAAAATACTTATTCAGTTCAACCAAAATATAACTATTTAAGATGTTTCTTAAGAATATAACATAAACAATGATATGATTAATGACACTAAAGTATCCAAAAATAAATAATAATAATAACAATAATGAAATCATGTAAAAAAATTGCAAATTAACAAGTCATAATGAAAATGATCATAATTAAAAGGTACTAAATTATGCTAAAATAAGTTTAATAAGCATTAGTTACATGACTAAATATTTAAAGAAAATTAAAATTAGATTATGTATTTTAATTGTCTAAACCAAACGTTAAATCAAAGAACAAATATTCTTAGGGATAATTTTTTTTTTTGGATATTAGTATTAATTTGATTTTGATTTAAGTTTTATTATAATTACTAATGCATGTGGACTATAAGCTTTATGGAACTATTCAAATTTTTGAACTTCAAGCTTGAAATAATACATTAAAAGATTAAAAACCATGAAAAAGAATAGGAAATATTTAACAATTAGATGAAAGTAAATATTTTTATGTATAAAATAAATTTTTTAAAATTATATATAATATCGGATTTATTTGGTCTCGAGTTGATTCTTTTAGTTAAAATCAAACCAACCTAAATATAGTCGTGTTTTCTTTTCAACTACAAACCACATCAAACCAACCACTAGTCGAATTTTTTTTCTTGATTTAAAATTTGATTCAATTTTATACACCCCTACTTATCACATAAGGATAAAAATGATAGAATATTCTAAACGTAATTTTAAAGATTAAATAATTAAGTTAATTTAAAATATGAAAAATATATCGATCAATTCAATTATTTTAAATCAGAGCATATAAATTATATTAATGTAAAGAGGGATGTACCCTCCAAGTGATTGATCCTTGAAAACTGTGTGATTTCTCTGTTCCTACCCTTCTTCCCCGCTGGTTCCAATTACTGGGTTTTGCTGGAACTGCAGGTTCGCTCTTTACGAAAATCAACACATTTTACTAACTACATAATTTAACTCTTTCTTCCTACCTGTTATATATATATATATATATAATAACAACTTAAAAGTGAAGATTGGGAAAACGTTAGATAGACAATGTATTTGATTTTAGAAATGACAAGGTTTTGTATTTGGTCGTACGAGATAATTAAATCCCAAAGTAAAGGGATTAGTTATGAGTAAGGCTACGAGTACCGATGACTTTGTCTCCCTCTTTTTAACCAAATTCTAATATGATGAAGAAAAGATCCTCTCGTGATACCGCTCCTTACATTTTCCTAAAAGTCAAGTGAAGAGACTAGCCACAACGTGGACAGGGACTATTGAAGGAACAGACTCAATTCTCCACTTTTCTCCTGGCCAAAGGCATTTCATCAAACACAATCACCTTTGTTCTGTCAAGTGTCAACAGACAACATGGAAGTCTACCCTACAAAAAAAAAAGGGAATTACATCATAGCTTTAAGACTAACTCTGCTTTTATTGGGGTTTAGTGAGGGAAATCACTCCAACAATTGGTTTTTGGTTCTTGGGTCAGCTTCCTGTTGAATTATAGAGATAGTGAAACATCTGTCCTTATCACAGGAGAATGTTTCAACAGCTCACTGTAAAATCAGATCCCAGATGCTTGCGTACCCATTGTTCTAGAATCTGTAGGATCGGTTGTTAGCGAGAATGGATTCAATACAAGGAATCCAAAACATCATGCAGCTAGAACTTTGGTCAAAAGATTGTAGATTTCAGCTCAGCTGTGCAGCTAATGGAAATCTCAGCTCCAGAATGATTTCAGAGAAAGGAAATAGAGTAGTTCATTATCTGGCCAGAGTGTGGCAGAATCTTTGTTTTTTTTTAGGATGGTGGTGTCTGGGCAAGCTTGTCCTTGACTATTACACTGAGTACCTGCTACCTACCACTAGCGTAGGTAAAGCGTAACTCTGTCAATCAAGGCTAAGGAAGATGGAAAGAAATCACCAAGTGTTTCCTGCCTTCGCTGGAATTTGAACTTGAAAAACCTCATGGTTCTACCTCTCACTTCATTGACCACTAGACCACACACTGGGCGAGTATGACACAAACTCAACAAGTCCTGCAGCATTTTGCCCAAAACCATAGATACTAAGCCTGCTGATGTAGAGGAATCTGACATTTCCAGACTTCGATTTTAAGTTCAGCCACCAAAGGTAAGAGGAGCACAAAACTAGATTATGCATTTGATAGAGATTAATATGATTTGCTCTCTTAATTTATACTTGACCTAGTTCCCAAGGTACTACAAATGCATTGATGGAAAGACAGGGGAGGGAGAAAAAGTGGGTTTATACAAACTAGAAGCTATGAAGAGATGCTACTCCTAGCCAGTAGATGTTACACATGCTTCGTCCAAGAATGTTCAACCATGAATAGGAAGCATACATCAAAATACAAGAATACAATTTATCAACTCCCTTGGATTACCCATTATGTCTAAGTGGAAAAGAAATATATCATATATACCCTAAAATATATCATATATACCCTATAGTAAGTATCTCAACCAGTGCATGAAGCTATGGATGAACATGGGGATAAGGAAGCATCAAACACTGAAAGAGTATAGCAATA